GCTCTTCTTAGATCAATTTTTATAAAGATCCTTGTACATCCAAGTTATTCTAAGAGATCAAAAATCAAGGGTAACGGGTAACAATTCTTCTTTGTTATCTTGTTGAGGCCTCGATAGTCCACGCACATCCACAACGAGCCATCTTTCTTCTTCACAAATAAGATGGGCGTCCTAGTTGACAATTTTGAATGACGGATGAAGTTCTTGGCAAGATTCTCGTCGATGTACTTCCGTAATTCCGCCAACTTTGTCTGCGATAGATTGTAGATTGGGCCAAAAGGCGATTGTGCTCCTTCCTGCAAGTCTATGGCACAATCATATGGTTGGTGTTCCGATAGCATGTCGGCATTCTTCTTTTGAAACACGTCTTGAAAATCCTTATATTACTCAGGTATACTTACTGTCGTGATCTTCTCTCTGATAGTTGGAGCCGCATAAATGACAAACGATGTGCCTTCCTTGGATGATCTTATAAACGCTCTTGCTCTAATGAATAAGGATTTCTCTATTTGAGATTTTCTACTATGCTTGCTCTTGGGTGGTTTTGTAGGAAAGGTCATCTTCCGCAACCTCCAATCTATGGATGGATTATGCTTTTCCAACCATGAAAGACCAAGAATAACAAGATTTGATGGAGTTTTAATAATATTGAAAATAATATGATTACTATGGCCCTTAAACATCACTTCTATAGGTTCTGATTCATAGGTGACACTACCAGACAATAAAGGTCGCCCATCTATGACCTCAATGTGAACAGGTTTGGATTTTTGTACTAAAGGGATCTTATGACGCTTCCCAAATTCTTCGTCTAAGAAACAAGCAGATGCTCTTGAATCTAATAATGCTAAGGTTTTCAGTTTCTAAGGGCCATTAAATAAAGGAATTATAAAGTAAAGGGCCAGTTGAGCGAAAAGAAAGGAACGTGGTTGTTGTTGCGATATTTCACTGTCCAGCTGCACGGTTCCTATTGTGGCTGGGCATCCTCGTTTTTCTGAACAAACCCACCTCTAGTCCTGACAGTGTATCGATTTTGCTTCTTGGGGTAATTTCCAATTTTGTGACCTTCCTCCATACGTCACTTTTTTCTTCTAGAGTAAGGGATTTGACATGTACCGCATCAATTTGCATGTCTTCTACCTCTGAATGTGAATTCATGCTCCTTGCCAATATAGTTGGGGTATGGCGAACTATATGTTGTCTTGAACGTTGGTCTTGGTAGCGATAGAATAGGCAGTTATTGCACTTCACAGCTTGGCTAATAGCTTCGTTGAGCGTTTGTGGATCAGGAAGAGTTAATAGCAAATCCTTCACATCATCCTTTAAATCCCAATAGAATTGATTCATCAACGCTTCTTCATCCCAATTCATGTCACATGCTAATTGTCTGAAATCCGATGCATAGACTGATGTAGAGCGCATCCCTTATCGTAGAGATCGGATCTTTGTTGTAGCCCATTGAACATTGTCGTGTTCACCAAATTCTTCCACAAATGCATCCAAAAAGGTTTCAAAGTTGTTTAGTATGGACGAACATTTCTCAAACAAAGGAGCAAACCATGATAGAGCTTACCCTATAAGTAAGGTTCCAACAAGCCTAACACGTGACTCCTCCATTAGATAGCGTTCGGGCTGTAAAACTGTTATCAACCTGATTTGGTTGACGAATCCTCGAAACTTGGAACGGGTACCATCAAACTTGTCCGGAAGGCTAACTCGGGGCTCCTTATGTTGTAGAACCAGCGGTGCTTGTCGAATCTGAGGCAAAATTACTTCTCCAAGTGCAGAAGTTTGAGGCTAGTGGAACCTAGATTGTGCCATCCCAGATGCTCTATCATTATGAAGCCTTGCCACGACTCCTTTAATCTCTGCAGTTCTTTGCGATAACGTAGTGAGGACATTCATGATAGCATCCAACTTGGACTCCGAACTTTTCGTCATACTAATGTCTTGGCCTCCGGCCATTCTAAGAGAAGGACAAAAATGACTCTACAGGAAGACAATATTGGTTTAGAGGAGGATATTCCGTAACCTCTAAAATGCCTTAAGAGCTTCAAGATAAGGGGTAATCCACTCTCTCGAAGAAGAATAAGACTCCAATATTATAACAAAAGAAGTATTAGTTTAGAGGAGGATAATCCGCAACCTCTAAAATGCTAGTACACTTCCAAGCAGAGGGGTAATCCACACTCTAATGAAGAAGAAACTAGCTCTGATATCTGAGGTGAGTTTAGTCTCGACAAACTGTCACGGACACAGAAATACAAGCTCGAGATCTAACAAGAAGTTCAAGAAGAACTGGCAAGAACTAGATTAATCAGATGAATACAAGAACAACACCAAAGAGGTGAGCTAGAGCTCTAAGAGATGGGTTGTCGAGACTGAAGAACTCTTCAGCCTTGATTCCAATATATACTCTTATTTAGGAAGCTTCTCAAGCAGCTTCTACCAACTAAGAAGCTTCTAGAAGGTTCCAGAGACTTGCTTCTAGAAGGTTCTAGAAAATTGTCTCTAGAAGGTTCTAAGGACTATGTCCCTAACATCTTCTACCAACTAAGAAGCTTCTAGAAGGTTCCAGAGACTTGCTTCTAGGAGGTTCTATAAACTTGTCTCTAGAAGGTTCTAAGGACTATGTCCCTAACAATAGCTCATACCTAAGAATCTATAGCTTTAGAGGAAGTAAATATTTTAGTATAAATATTATATTATATAATTTTTTTAAATAGATATTTAATTAAAGATTATAATTGATATTATTTTTAAAAAATATATGCATATATATATATATATTAAAAATTTAAATTTAATAAAAAACAATTTAAAATAAAATATTTATTGATAATTTGAATATTTGAAAAGAATGATGAAATAAGCTAAATTTCAAAGAAATAATATAAATAAGATTAGAAAAAACCATGTTAGCAGATATATTGTAAAAATAATATATATTCAAAAATATTTAAGAGTATTAAATTAAAACAAATGAGGCAAAAATTAGAAGATTTTAGTATATCAAATAAAATAATTTTAAACATTAAATTAAAGACTTTAGCATATTAATTTATGTTTATTAGATGTCAATCTAGATTAAAATATTCATTTGAATTATGATTAAAAAAACAATAGCTACACTTAATAAAACCACTTGTGATCTTGCAAAAGAAGTATTTTTTTTCTACTATCTTATATTTTTTTATAGTATTGAGTTTTCTTAAAGATGTATGTTTTTGTTTATTTCAATTAATTAATTAAAATAATCGCATAGGTGTATAAAGAGTAAATAATATTAAAATTATTACATGAAAAAGAAGTTAAGTAAAAGAATTAATGCATATAATTATTGGATTTGACCTTCATTTTATCTTTTTTATAAGATATATTATCAAAAAAATAATAATAATAATTCTTTTTGTCTACTCTTTTTTTGAAAAAAGTAAAGAAATAGAATTAATTAATTTAGTACTATTATTTGAATTTTTTTATAAAAATGATCACATGCTTAATAGAATTTGTATACTTCTTCATGTAATATAGATCACTAATATCTTTTATAAAATAATTCTAAATTATAATATTACAAAAAAATAGCCACATATTGAATCCAAATGCATAGCTCATAAAAATTATTAAACTTCAATAGGGTATAATATATGACATTGAACTAAGTTTATATTGCAATATTATAATTTCTTATTGCTACAAGTGAATAAAATGGCTTTACAAGCAAACATTCTAAGTTTCTGAGTATTTATAGATAATAGTGTTTTTTTTAGAGATAATTATTGTCATACATTGGTAAGCCATTTTGATCCTTCACAAAAAAGAGTGGCATCTTAAACTGAATATATAACTCTTGTGACAAGTTTTTTGTGGACTATGCAACTCTAAGCATGTACCACACCATGCAAATTATTGACCTTAGACATTACCATGAATTTATATTATATAAATAATAATATCTATAATGTAACTTGACTTGACAACTAAGATTTTTTCATCAAATAATCAAATGCCATATGATCAACAAATAGTTCAATTTTTTTAAGAGATTTTCAAAAAAAAAAAAAAAAAAAAAAAAAAACATACAATATTATTAAGGTTTTTAGAATGGTAGTAGTATAGTTTGTTTTGCTAAGTTAATCATGTGAGAAATGTATAGAGTTGGTTAGTAAATAGAATACAATTGTTTCATGATGGTTTGCAATGACCCTAAACTACTTAATAATGGCAAGTTGGACCTAAAAATTCTAAAATATTTTCCCAGGAGGTTTGTGGTTTGAATTCAAAAATTGCATCAAGCAAAATTTGTCATCATGTCAACAACAATATATATATATATATATATATATATATATATTTTCGTGTAAGTATAGCTTTAACATTAAGATTCAATTAACATTAACATTAAGATTCTAATTTTGTAAAATTAAGACTGTAGATTCTATGTACTCTTTCTAATGGATGGCAAAGTAATTTTACAATAGTCTATCCAAATAGATTTACTTTAATATTTCAATGACAAAAATCATTAGTTTTAAATATAAGGATAGTTTTGTAAAAAACATTTATTAAGTTGTACCATGTTATTGATACTTAAAATCACCTGGATTATTTTTGTCAAAAGTGATTATTAAATGAAAAAAGTCCTTCTGGTTAGAAACTTTCTAATTTTTTAATAACCAATCTAACTACACTCGGATTACCTAAATAATAACCTAAATCCCAAATTATGGAAGATTACTTCGATAAAATTATATCTTTAAAATGCTGCCGTATGTTCCTAAGATCCTCTACCATTTTCCCTATGAACAATTACTTAGAAACACACTCGGTACAAAATCAATCCAACTACTAAAATCCTATGTATCAGAAGTCACTGCACTACAATATTATCATTAACCGACTGGACAGCTGTAACACAATCCAGGAAAAGATTCAACAATACTTAAAATTAAAAAGAGTCAAATAAAAGCAATTCAGCAGTACAGACAAACATGTGATGAATGCAATAGGCAAAATAATTTTAGTTAATGCGTTACATTCTAAACAATCCAGAACAGTTCAAAAATATCTCTATCTCATCATCAAAAGCTTGCACAGAGTAGCTTCCAAAGAATGTTCTGTCTTAATAAATTTAAATAAAAATCAGGCAAGCTAGGAACTGTGCCGTCTCAGAACCGACTAGTGGTGGTGACCTTGTCCCGAACAAAACGCTCAGTACAACAACCACCCAACCAGAACCTGAAGCTATAGATGGAGCACTCATCGATTCTGACGACGCTACCACCACCAAGACGAGACCGTAGCATTGAAGTAAACAGGTGGACCTAAAACTCCTCGTCAGGCTCATGCCGCAACATGACCCGTCGCAAATGAGCGATTCTAGTGGTCACACAATCAGGTAAATAATTTGCATGCTTTTACCGCTGACCCTCTCCTACAACTAAACGTCTTGGCAAGCAGGTGCATAGTTCTTTTCAATGTCGTAAACTTTCCACGATATACGACGCATAAAGATCCCTGCAAAATGCACGTCGCCATCCATGAGCCTGTACAAATGTAAACGTGATAAAAAAAAGAAAATTGTATTCATTGAAAAAAACACCACTCATGAAAGGCCCCGAACACCCCATAATCGCACGACTAACAACTCTGTTACTCATAACCCAATCATACATCACAAATCAGCTCCATGGCAATCAAATTGCATCTTCATAGGAAATGCCATCTTCCAACACATCTCAACACATCAAATAGGAATTCTCGACAAGAACGCTTACATGGAGTGACTGATGGCTTGAATCGCAGCTTCGTGGCCCAGGAAGTTATCCACCGTTACTTCCTTGTTCTCATTCTTCTTGTCTGATTCACCCCAAACCCATCCCTGCCGGTTACAAACGTCACACATCACCACAAGCAAAGACACCTCTCTCTCTCACGTCCACATCTTGGACCATTATGCACATCACCGCGTCACCTCACTCGGCACTTACAATCCTCAAAGAACCGCCGAATCTCCGCCAATCGGTGCGGTGGAAGCTCGTTGATGTCCTTGAAATGTCTGTACTCGGGGTCGTCGGCACACACGGCGATGATCTTGTCGTCCTTCTCACCCTGCATTCCGAACAGATCTCACGTTGCTAACCCGCAGAAAACACATCCACAACCTTTTCCACGACACAAACAGCCACACAGTGCGAGCGCAACAGCTTCTAACCTGATCGATCATAGGCATCAACCCAATGGCTCTAGCTCGGACAAACGATCCAGGCATCACGGGTTCCTGCAACCAAGTCAACCATCAGTGCTGCCCCCCAAAAAGTAATGCACACCACCTTCCAAGTGTCCAACAAATCCCATTGCTTCTCCACCACATCAAGGCCTACATTCAAGAACAACTAAAATCACAAATTCCTGCGACCACGAACACAAATCACACCCTTTCACCAGCCATCGCTGCTAGACTCACAAACTCGCCACATCCAAGACAACATCCACCTCGGCAAACGACTTGTCTACTGCGACCCATAGTTCTCACAACAAACTGCCACCGATCACACCGGAGCGAGGGATATGTTTGACACCCAACCCACTACTCCTGAGCACGAATGCGGTATCTCCACAATCGGCCAATCAACCACGCTTCTCAGCACGACACCTCACACTTCAGCCCGCACACTCCATTCAAACACGCCTCTTCTGCTCTCAACTCATCCAATAGCGGGATTACGCACAGTCGTGCCACTAACTTCATTCACGCACAAAGGACGCTACCTGCATGATGACCAGAACATCGATGGGATCCTCGTCCTCGCAAAGGGTGCGTGGAATGAAACCATAATTGTGCGGGTACACCACAGACGAGTATAGGATACGATCCACCTGCAGAGCAACCGATGTTCAGAACAATGAGCGGTCGAAACACAGCATACATCTCGTCAACATGCATTACCAAACCCCTTCAGAAATCTCCCAATCTAAACATTCACCTTCATCAGACCGCTCTTCTTGTCAAGCTCGTACTTCACCTTGCTCCCTCTGTTGATCTCGACAACCTGCACGTGTGGCTCAACCTTGTCATAAACTGTGACTATCTAAATGACTCCCAGCCGTGCTGCGGGATATGCTGCTGTGAAATTATCACACCCCACGGGCCGAAAACCTTGTCCACAATTACCACCGGCCCCCGCAGCCATGGATATCGCCTCTAAAGGCCAACTGCTCCAAATTGTACACAACTTTTCTACACAAGGAAGTGTTCCAAAATACGACCGAGAAACTCACAAAAAAACCACCAACGCTCACACTGAAAAAACACCCGCAAACACGACTGTCTTACATACATGAGAGACTTACACAGTTAAAGATTTCTGGAGCAGCAGGCCCTGAAAAAGGCAATACAACACACACCAATTCAGAACCTCATCATTCAGATACTTCCAACTACACCTACAACGATAAGCAATGCACGATAAACACCTATGACACTCTCTTCCCGACTCGCGGCCATTTCCACAACTAACCAAAAATCCTGTCGGTACAAACCCACATACCGATTTCGAGATCATGCCATGGATGTGCAGCGACAGTACGACGCTCCATCGTCGTCATAATCCGGCTGTTCAGTGGAGTAGCCTTGTGAACTGCAGTTGAACCCTTCTTCGATGGAACTGCTGCGACCCCATTGGAAGCCATGCTGTCAGCTTCACCCCGAAGCTCACTCTATGTATCTCAGAAATCCTTCCTACATTTAAGAAGACACACAAAGGTAATTTTAATACCACCCGCCAGGCACCAGAAAAACGAATCTCACAAGGGCTACTAGAGAGGTTGAGGGGTTAATGGCCATAGATGAACTGGCTTTATCTTGGAAACTTTCACTACCATTTAACTTTACAACTTGCTCCGACTCGATGTGAAGTAACGGGAAGAAACGCGGTGAAAACTACCGCTCAGAACACGTTTCGGATCCGCCTCATCAGCTTTTCGCGCAAACGGTAGGATAAAAGTGGAATGCGATGGAGATGTAACTGGCCGCATAATCTCTTCAAACGACCGCATAACCAGGACGAGCGGCCCAGCAACGAATGGCAATAGATTCTGTCTATGGAATTACCAGAACAGAAAAATTCCCGAACAAAACGCTGCCCAAACATGATCCAAACTTCCAGAACAGAAATCAAGCTTCAATACTCATTCAACGAGCACGAATCTGATCAACACTCTTGAACGTCTTGTTCCACGAACTTCCACTTCCCAGGCCAACACTCAACAATGGACTGTCAATTTAGCCCACTGCTCCTCCTGATCTAAATTCTATAGCGTAAAGAATGTCTTCCAACGACAGCGAACTCCTTCGTATCTAGTCACATTTGAAGCTCTCCTGACAAAATACGACAAGAACCAAACCATTCTCCGTGGCCAAAACACACCCAACTTCCCAACATTCCCCAATGCTCCCTCTCGATCCAGTTTTCAACCATAATGCCGTTCAAAATTGCACTCCAACTTGCTACACAAGCTCAGAGAGAAGATCAGATCTGCTCACCCGCACCCAATGCAGCTCCTCGCCCCCCTCAAAACTTCCAACCCGCGCTCACCGCGCGGACCTCCGACTGACCTCCTCTCTCTATCCTCGCAGCAACTTGATCAAAACATCAAAAACACGACGGAACTGGACAGCGCGTAGCAAAAAAAAAAACAAACAAACAAACAAACAAACAAACAAGAGGGAAGCGCAGGAAGGAACGCGCGTGGGGGAATGAAATGCGAGAGCGGGGCAAGGCAAGGCAAGGGCGGCGAGGCAGAGAAGCGAGACGGTGAGAAGGCAGGGGCACGTGGGACTTGGGCTGTGCTTGAGCAGAGCTGCTCTGCTACATGCTCTCTAATAGAGCCCCCCCGCCACGAAGTCTCGTCCATCCCCGCCTATTTATCATCCACGGACGAATGATCTCCGGCGATGTTGGACAAGGAGCCCATGGCGCATTGCCAATTCTGTCCACTTTCCCCCCTTCCCCCCAACTCCGCGTTCGATGCGCAGCGCGGCTGCGAATAGTCCTCGTGACAAATGCCTCGTCCTCATGACTTCGTGCCCCCCCCCCCCCCCAACTGCCCTGCCCTCCCCCTGACCACCCTGTCCTTGTGTTGATTTCATGTGGAATCCCCCCCCCCCATCTCCCTTCACCATGCACTCCCTCGCACCCTGGTTCCTCCCCTCTCCTGGGTCAGAGTGATTGCCACCCCTGCAATTCCACTGCCCATGTGTGACAGTTTTTGGATCCATTTTTGCTGCAGCAGAGTTGCCCTTGTAACCTTGTGTGTTCTAGCAACTCATTCAACCAGATTGCTACACATTTTGGAAGACAGTGGCCATGACTTAGTGGGAGTGTCATGGGCACATCTCCAAACATGCTCCATACTCTTTCATTGCTTTGCTTTCATAGAATTATTTAAATTTGAAATAGATTGGTTGATATGGCTACTTACCACTTTCAAATCAATCTGGTTTGAAGATGCATTATCACAAACCTGCAGGTCAAACTGGTGCATGTCTATTGGGTGCATTATTGCTCAGTTTACTTTGTAGAAACTGGAACATGAAGGAAGATGAGTGGTTGTATCTTGGAATGGTAAAACCACATGGTAGATGTATTATAGACAGCACACATTGTCATTGCACCATTATTTCCAATCATGAGTGACTAGATGAGCAGCAGAGGGTTGCCCTTGTCTGATTGTGGAGGCCAAGAGCATTCAACTTTCAACATGAAATTATTCTAGAACCTCTACCATGATCTGGCCACTCCAGCAGGATGGCCAGCTAGAGATTTGTTAACAGTTCTGATATACACTAAAGAGAAAAAAAAAAGGAAAAAGCAAAAGGGGGGGGGGTTTGGCAACCAGATTCCACAGGTAAAAACATCTAGCACAATGAGTGTGCTTTTGAAGCAAATGCACTAGGTGTGACATTTAATCAAATCCTTACATTATGGCAACAGGTTTTCCTATGAATTGAACTAGGTGTCACCCAGCCCTAAACCATGCTGATCACAAACAGATTTGTAGGATTTGATGAAGAACACACCCTTAATACTCCAACATGCCCATCAATACTACCCAAAGTTGAAAGATTGACCACTCATAGTGGAGAACATTACTGTATTGCAACCTGACGATGCAAAACATCCAGTTTATTGAATGAGTGTGAAGCAGTTGGGACATGGTGAAGTACAAGAGCAAAGCCCTTAATAAATTCAAAAGACAAGCTTTTGTCACAAATTTATCTAGATCTAATCAACCAATCTTAATAGAAACAAGGAACAGTCCAACTTGTTCCAAATCCCAAGCGACCACTATTAAGGCTACTAAGGCTATCAAGGCTCACTGATAAAATTAGAAGACACCCATGGAGTGTGCTAGTGGGCAGTGGGGTGTTCATGACCAGTAGGCCAGTTGGGAAATGGGAAGCTTCAAGTTGGAGGCAATCACACACCAACTGAGAAGGGGCCACATGAGGGAGGCTAAAGTCAGTGAGAGGCCCAACACAGAAGACTAATAAAGTTGGGCAATGTGTGGAGGTGGTGCCCAGATTGGAAAAAGGGAGCAACCAGTAAAGGGAGGGCCGGCCACGGATGAATGAATTTGAAGGCCCCCTGATTATGAACAGAAAAGGAAGGGTGGGTAGTGGATGTTCCAAAAAGGATATACCCAGTTCCCACCGTTTGGGAGCCAACGTCCCGACTTTGTGGCTGCAGCTGCTTCTTCCACAAATCTTGCATCAGCTTTTCAAATACTTTTCTGCAGCTCATGTGTAACCCTTGTCCACTCGGCCATGCAGGCAGGCGCCAAGTCCAACCCACAACAAAGCTTGACGTGGTTCCTCGGCTTCCAAACTCCAATTTGTCTCAGGTTTTTGTTTTCCATTATCTGGCTTCTTTTTCACTTTACTTCTCTTTTGGAAATTGCATATATATATATATATATATATATGAAAAAAACAATAGAGTCTTTGTAACGTAAAGATTTACAAAAGAGAACAAGCTAACATTTATTATAATAGGTCCAAAATAAAAGGTCAATTTAAGGTTTATTGTTTGGGTAAATTCAATGTAAGATGTGAATGTGTTAAAGTGGGACAATTTTGTAAATTAAAGAATAACATAGAAGTCTGTGTTGATTTATTTAGGCATTGAAGTCATAATAGACTTGGAAATTAATCAACTAGAGATTGATATAGATATCTATCAGTAAAAGTGATACAAATGAATACTCACTAAGAGAAACAAAATAAGCCAAATATTTTAACATAAGACTTCAAAAGAAGTTCTAAAGTGAAAAAATATTTAGAAATTTTGGAAAAAAATAAACTTATTTTAGGATTATATATATATATATATATATATATATATAGAGAGAGAGAGAGAGAGAGAGAGAGAGAGAGAAAATTTCAATACCAATGTTTAGCAAAAATAAAAATAATATGTAAATAGAGGACATATAATAATTTAATTTTTAAATAGAAAATAAAAATAAGAAGAAGCAAAAAATGATAATAAATTTTGTTGCTTACTAACAAGAGAAAATAAGAATTTTATTTGGATATTTAAAATAAAATTTTGCAAAGTATATTTCTATTTTTAGACAATATAATTTTAAAATATATAACTCAAAATTGAACCATATTTTATTATCATAAGAAATAAAATTCTATTATAAAAAAATAAAATATTAATTTTAAAATTTTAAGATTATCTAAATGATTCATATAAACAAAATTCTATTTTTAATTCTGGAATAAAAATTCAAAGATTATGAAAAAATAAAATAAAAAATTAATAATAATATAATTGACCATAAGTATTAGTATTAACAAGTAATATTTATGATTTACTTTAATTCACAAAATAATTCATATAATATATATATATATATATATATATATATATATATATATATATATATATATATATGTTAGTATATAATATTTTTAATAAAAATATGTTTTATTATTTATTTTAAAATTATTATATTTTTTATCCTAAAAATAAAGTAAAATAAAAAAGAGCCGTTGAATTATTTCTTTAATTGAATATTTATTAAATAATAAAATTTTTAATTACCAATTATAATTTATTTAATATCATTTTTTATCAAAAATAGAATTAAAAGACTTTGTAAATTTAAATTAATTAGTATCTATTGATTTTTTTTTAAAATTTATCTTAGTAAATTTTTATATATAGAATTAATAATGTTGTAAATATTGTATTTTAGATTTATTTAGAGAAAATCAATCAAAAGTATATGTCAAAGAGTTTTTTAAGTATTAAAATATAGTACTAAAATAAATTATCTAAGAATAGTTGAATAATAAAATATAAGTAATTATTATTGTTTTATATATTAAAGAGATTTATTTATACATATATATATATATATATATATATTAAATCAAATATGTATAATTATTAATAAAAAATATTAAGAAATTTATATTTTAGAATGGTAAAAAAAATTAAAATATAAATTATTGATATTTTAAGATTGGATAATTTTAATCTAATACAAGATTACATAAGAGGTATTAAAGAACAATAAAGCCTTCCACTCTCTTTTTAACATCTTTTATGTTCTTACTCTTATTTCAAGAGATTTTAATTTTCTTATATTTGGTAGTAATCATTCTAGTTTAATATTATACAATCTTTAAGTAATTAACTATCATTTTTGAGTCGTACAAGGATATATTGATCTTTTTTTTTTTCTTTTTATCCATATTATTGATAGTTTAACAAGAGTGCTGATTCACTATTGTTTTTTTTTTTAGTGGATTATTTCACTTCTTTTGTTGTATTTAGAAGGTTGTAGACAGCTTACTTTTAAACAAACATTATTTATTTTCTAACATTGATTTTTTCAAAAAAAAAAGTAACTATTATTCTTTGAAGATTTTTTTTTTTTTTGATATTAGTGGTTTCTAATTACACTCTTCTAATTTAATTTGTGGATTCGTTAAAGTTATTTGTTATAGATATAGAAGAAAAAATTATAGATGCTACATTCTACAGGAGTAAAAATAGATTTGTAACTATTATAAATCTTTAAGAACTTACTAACACTTTAAGAATGGAAATTTTATGTATTACTAATTTCCACTATAAAGGTATTATTTCTACTTCTATAGATGACGTCAACAATAAAGTTTAAAGTCTACACTGTCATATAATATAAATTCTTGCTTGAAAATATATCAAGTATCTAGCTATAGAAGGTAAATTAAAAAAAAAAATTCAACAAAAAGATTCTACCAAGTCTAATAGAATCTTGAATAAACTCTAATAAAATCTTAATAAATCTAATCAAATTTTAATCAATCCAAAAGAAGTTTAGAAGAAATTACTAAAAGAACATAAAAAAGTCAAATATTAATTTTAAAGAAAAATAATAAAAAAAATCCTAAAGAAATAGTAAAATAAAAGCCTTCAAGGAAGAACAAAGAACCTTAAATAAATATAAAATATAAACCTTAAAAA